TTTTACTTAATAGTGTGGGCTAGCTTTCGCATATGGAGGAGCCAATAATTACCATAAAAAAACGGATGGAGAGAGCATCCAAGAGGAGCCTCAAATGTCTGGGTTATACATCGTTCCCAAGTTCTGTTCCTTCCTTTGGATCCTAAATTGTCAATTTGCTTCGTTTTTTTTTCTTTTCCGAAAATAGTTTTCATTTATTAACCCCATTTTGGTTAAGGGAATACATACTACAGCGAGCAATAGTTAAAAAAGGTTGTAAACGACAAAATGACATCGGATGGATTGAGTGTATACACTGTGAATCTATTTAAATTATCTAAAACGATAAATCTTGCATATATAATTTGCAAAGTGAGTAATAAGTGGACCTCATCAAATTTAAGGATCTTGATGTATTTGGTTGCACACACCCAGTTGCCTCAATCTATCTAATCCATACATGTATACATGTATGTACGTAGTAATTGTTATTTTATATACTAATATGTTTTTTCTTCGTGTTATTGGGGTGACATCAACCATTTCTACTGTGCCCAACAAAACCCATGGAAACTATTGTGCAGCTTGGGCCTAGACCGATCAAAAGCAGCCCATGAAAAGTTTATAATCAACAATGATTTCGTGAATTAGGTTTTTGTTTTTTCGCTTCTAACGTTGCCATCGGTGGTAGTATAGTTTCTTAATTATCATATTTCGCCCATTCGTCACACCATAATCAAGCACAAATTATCCGTGTCGAAATTAAAGAGTTCGACTAGTTTATATTTTTCACCCCGAGAACAAGAGTGATATTTCCGCTTGATGTCCAGGAATTAAAGTTAAAAAGTGGATGTGAAATGTCACGTTTCTTGAGATGGGAAATCCTGCGCATCTGATCAAATCTAGATAATTAACTATACTTGTGTGGCATCATCCCAATTCATGTCGAAGTTGTAAGCCCGTTTTATATCATTTCATGGTCTCTAAGCTGTTTTATTTTGCGCGAACGCATGTCATAGTGGGCGTGATTCATTTCCTCGCAGGCATGCACGGAAATGGTAATGCCAACAGAGGGCAATCGAGAGACGAGCATATTCCCAGCTTACAAGTATAACTACAATGATACAGTTGCCAACTGTGCATCTTACTTCGGCGTCGTCCCTAGGCCCACCTGGATCCCTACCGAGTTCGGCGGCCATGTGGGTAACCCGTATTCCATCGTTCTATGCTTGGTGCAACTTTATCCAAGTATATATATATGATGATGATGATGATGATGATGATTTACGAAGTTTCATAACTTTTTATATCTCGCACATCCTTACTTAGGGAATTGCAATATCTGTTTTTCCCGACCCTAACTTAAAATTTTTGCGTCCCTCGTTGTGTACTTGAAAAAGAACAGGACATTAGGAGGACCTTGAGGAGATTTGGGAGCAATATCATCTTCTACAATGGCTTAAGAGACCCTTGGAGTGGTGGAGGGTATCTCTCTCTCTCTCTCTCTCTCTCTCTCTCTCTCTCTCTCTCTCTCTCTCTCTCTCTCTCTCTCTCATTCACAGTGGGAATCAATCATTTGATAATCCTGTCTCTGTGGTAAAAATGGCAGGGTCTTGAAGAGCATTTCCAAGAGCATTGTTGCAATAGTGGCCAAAAAAGGTCAGCTCACCCTCTCTGAAACTTCGCATACGTGACTCTTCATTTTATGAATGAACGATATCACAAAAAGATAATAGTGTATCCCTTCAATGGAAGAAGTGAGGGTCTATCTTCACATAAATGCTAGGTCGTCCACAATATGTGCAATCACAGTTTTAGATACAAGTGATGAAATTGATTTTCTAGGAGATACAAGAAGTTAGTTTTAACCATCTTAAGTTATCGATGATAGGGGCTCACCATGTCGATTTGCGATACTCGACCAGCGAAGATCCCGAGTGGCTTCAAGATGTGAGAAAGAAGGAGATCAATATCATTTCAGGCTGGATCTCTCAATACTACCTCGACCTGGCCAAATCGTCTTCCTAACTTCGGTTTTGTGACTCATAATGCTTCTAGTTCTTCAACTATCCAAGTGAAAACTTGTACTCTTGGAATTGAAATTGGCTCTTAGACTTTGTTTTCTTAAATGATTCCCGACATCAATAAACGATTATCCAATTTGTCATATTAAGTTTAAATCATGTAAATGAGTCATATACCTGTTCATGCGAAATGGAATGAAAAATGACATAGCAAATACTACAATTGACATTTCGATCAGATCCCCTATATAGTTATAGTACTGTCAGAATAAGACCGACCATATTGTGCAATCCTATTTTTAACCATCTTTAACTAGTCTCTTGGGAGCTGCCTTTGAATTTTCCCCATGCTAACCGAGAGTAGCTTATAAGCACTTCGGATTGCATTTGGTCGTTCAAATTTTCCACCGTATACAACCGAACAAGAATTTTAATAAAAGCTAGCATCGGTGAAAAGAGCAATTTGTAGGTACGCTAAAACTCGCTTATGAAATTAGTACTTCTAATTGATGTCACGGGCTCTTACTGACGGGGAGCGAATATGACCCGCTTGCTCAAATAATCATTTGCAATTTGCAACTTAATGTATCCATTACGAATGTTTAAGCAAAATGTACACGGCCTCAAGAACACTCTGAGTTTGGATCTAACACTAACGACAGTCAAACCATTAGTCAGTTTATTGCTTGCCCGACCTCGTCACTTTTGCTCCATTAATTCAAGATGTTTGACTTGATCATGCATGTGTCTGCTAGGAGTGCTTGTGTACGGATACTTGGTACTTTACCCAAACAACCATGGATTTGCTGATCAGTTTCACGTGTCGATCCACAAGCAAAATGGATATCGTTTAAGACCTGGTTTAAACGATGCATGTGCATGCGAGAATGCACGTTCTATTAACTATATGCGGTAAGTATGACAGCATAATTGGTGCGTATATACCTGATATGTGTGTTGTCCACCGCGTGGATGTAGGTTAGGGTCTGATCAGAAACTCTAAAATCATCCATCAATCCAAGTCAGAATGCTGATTATTTGGTCGAGCTATTACAGGAAAATTTACCAAAAAAGTTTTAACATCTATTGTATAGATGTTAATTCAATAAATTTAATTTTAAACCTTTTAACGCTATGCCAATATAGTTTTTCCGGCCAATTTTAACTAGGATTGCTGATATGGCGGTCCATTTAGCGCTTGCCATCCTATATGGTTTGGTCGGCGTTGACGTAAATAAATTTTTTTAAAGTTTTTTTCTGAATTTTTTCTTTTTTCTTTTCTTTTATTTTCTCTTTTCTTTTTTCTCGCATGCCGCCGGACCTTGTCGATGGCTAGCAAAGATCTCCAGCCACAGGCGAGGGCCACCCTTGAGCAAGTGTCGACCTCACCGGATCAAATTAGCAAAATTAGAAAGTTTATGACTGAATTGACATTGTACAATAGGTTTTTGAACTGATTGGGTAACCTTCCCTACCCTTTACTCTCCCTCCAATGCCACCCTGCTCGAGCCCAGAAGACCGTCCCTTACAACCTCTCCATCTTCACTGTCAATTCCCTCGTCATCCCTTATGACTTCGACCTCATGGCCTCCAACGATCTGTTCTCGGTTATCTCTAGGGCCATCTACTTGTTACTGTTTGTTTTCCTCAGTCATTTATTTCTCAGTTAGGTTTTTCCTGCTGGATGTGTCAATTTGTGGTTGTCTGGGAGAAGTCGCAGGAGGTTTCTGGAAGAAGAAGAGAATTAGCCATCAACATTTAGTCATGGCTTGATTTAGGAGAGATGAGATTGTTATGTTTAGGAATTTATATTGGCATCTTTATTCTGTCCATCATCATTAATGGAGGTGCGACATCCCTGAATTTTTTTGTTTTTGGTCGTATCACATCCCTGAATTAACTCACTGAGATACTATCCACTTTGGCCCGTCCCATCCGAGCCTCACGGTTTTGTCATTTGGTATATAGGCGAACACATTCCCATGAAGTCATCCATCCTGGAAGTGTTCCTAGCGTTGCTGTTACGTCAAAAGGCGCTTTCATGAGTTAATTTAAGTTTTCGCATAAATATCTCATGATCGCTCTCCCCGTGTTCATTGTGCAGTTCGGTGTATTTTTGTTCCCTTTGCCATCCTAGAAATCTGTTATGAGTCGCTATTTGTCCACGCCCTTTAGCCCCGACAACCACTCCTTGCCCTCATTGAACTAGATTGCTACAGGGCCATTACCTTTCGCCTGGTTCATCCCTGAACAACACACCTACTAGAGGGGGTCCGGTTCTGATACCATATTGTGACATTTCCAGATTAATTCACTGAGGTATTGTACCTTCCCAAGTGGTAACAAGAGGAAACAATTTTCATGTCCAAATAGCATCTGAAATGGATGTGGTGGAATGACCACAAACTTCTTATATTTCATAAAATCTTGTTTGCGGCGTTACTTTTGGCTTAAGCTTGTGTGACTATGGCCGAAGCAATTAGACATGAAAGAGAATTTTCAAAGATTTTCAATTTTATCTTAGATTGTACCAAACATATGATGAAATGTTCTACAATCCGAAAGATATTTAGAGAATTTCTCATCCCACCTTATCTTATCGTATCCCAATTCAAATCTGAATTACCATACGCAACCATAGGTGTTGATTTGGATCAGGATTAGACATATGGACTGTTGACCATTTAGGAGGACCAATGGGTAAGTTTGGCCCAAATCCATCAATGAACCACCAAAAGCCCAAGCCAAATAAGCTTACCTACGCGTTTCGCCCCCGCGCCCCCCGGAACACCGCCCCAACAATTGCACTTAGTGGAATTCAAGAATAGCTTTTCACTCATTAAATTTGGAAGAGCTACTACTCAAAATTAGCAATCATATCATCTCCCTTACCCTCAATAAAAACCTTCATAAATATAATGCTATATCTTTCTAATGCCAGCTAATATAACAATCAATGATTATATATATAACAATCAATGATGGTCCACCAAATAAGTTGACCCAACATTTTAGGCAAGACCCCAACCTCCTTCAATCTTTTACACAATCATGGAGAAAGGCTCTCTCTCTCTCTCTCTCTCTGAACTGAAAACTCCACACTCGTTCACTTCCTCTGCAACTGCAAACACTAGAGACCAGAAGATCATGAGTACAACACAACTACCATTGAGCATAGTTCTCTGTCTCTCTCTGATCTTTCGATGCTCTTTCGCTGTCTCGCCATTTGGCAATATCATACCTCGCTTTCCTTCTCCTCTCATTCATCCAGAAAATTCTCAACAACCATCGCTCTCTAACGACCAGAGCAGCAACAATGGGCTCTACCAGTCCAGGTACTTCACGCAAACTCTCGACCACTTCGGCTTCCGTCCCGAGAGCTACCAGACGTTCCAGCAGAGGTACCTGATCAACTCCACCTTCTGGGGCGGCCCGCGGAGGAATGCCCCGATCTTTGTCTACACTGGGAACGAGGGCAACATCGAGTGGTTCGCCCAGAACACGGGCTTCATGTTCGAGACTGCACCCCGCTTCAATGCCCTTCTTGTGTTCATCGAGGTATATTGCCAACCGATCTAAATACTTAAGCTGTAGCATCATATACAGAAGCGACATGGGGATAGGACTTGTGTCATTTTATTTTGCTGTCGCCAATTACATTAGAAGAAGGATATAGAGATTATCATCCTTGTTGGTTTCCTTGAAGCATCGGTATTACGGGAAATCGAATCCATTCGGGGGCAACAAAGAGGTGGCGTCCAGCAACGCAAGCACGCTGGGCTATCTCTCTTCGACGCAAGCATTGGCAGACTACGCGATGCTGATCACCGATCTGAAGAAGAACTTGACAGCCGAGCATTCGCCTGTGGTGGTTTTTGGAGGTTCATACGGTGGAAGTATGCTGCTGTCTCCCTCTCTCTCACACTGTTAATAGAGAAAAACAAATGCTGGGTTTTCGCCCCTTCACAGCTTAATTTAATAAATTAATGTGTTTGTCCTATTATAATGGATTATGTACATAGCTGGTTGTGCATGGAGGTTTCTGGTTTGATAGGGAAATAGGAAAATAGAGTTAAAACTTATTCTGATGAATGGTTTTGTTTATTGAAAATATTGCAGTGTTGGCAGCATGGTTTAGGCTAAAGTATCCGCACATTGCAGTTGGCGCTTTGTCTTCTTCTTCTCCGATCCTCAACTTTGTCAACATCACCTCGCCTTATAGCTTCAACGACATCATCACTCGAGACTTCAGGGTGCGCTCTCTCTCTCTCTCTTTCTCATTTTGTGTTTGTTTTTGGTTATTCTTGGATTGCAAAGACTTTACAGAGATGAGGATTAGGGATAAGGTTCGGTGAGAAAATTTGCATGACAGAACGAATCCGAAGATGGTCCTACTACCCTCAACTTTCTAGTCAAAGATTCCATAAGAGCCACTGCATACTCTTCAATATGCAATTCAGAAGAATTCCGGAGAACCACACAATTCGATTTACTAAATATCTTGAATCATTCTATGTATTCAAATTCTTTTTCTAAAACATATCAAATGTTACTGTTCATTCTATTTGGTATGTTCAATTATGTATGGAATTTCTATCAGACCTATAACTTATCGTTTTTGTACACCATAACACCGTGTAACCTACTTATTTTACATGCACCATCAATCCAATGTATGTGTTCTCGATGGCGCGCGATCATGTAGATTTTAAGTGATCCGTAACTATACGAGAATCATGCGAGTCTAAGAGCACGATTGATGTGAATATCCAGAGCGAGAGCGAGAATTGCTACAAAGTGATCAAGCGATCATGGCAGAAGATCGAAGATACAGCGAAGCAACGTGGCGGACTCCAGATCCTGCGAAAATCATTTGGACTGTGCAAGTAAGAGATGACGCCTAAACAATATTAGCTTCTCATGGATTTAATTCATTCTTTTTGGAGTGTTCTTTGTTTATGTATTTACCCCTTTGCAGGAACTCCATGGATGCGGGTTATCTCAAAAGTTGGCTCGAAACTGCTCTCGTTTACACCGCCATGACCGATTATCCAACTCCTTCCAATTTCTTAAATCCCTTGCCTGCTTACCCCGTCAAACAGGTATAGTTTGCTTAACAAATAATAACCTATATTAGCAGTGTAATATAAGCAAGATCTTCAAGATCATACTTTCTAGCATTTCTAAGTCAAATTCACATTGTTTTGGGGCACACGGATCTGATCTTAAGGGGGCATTAAAGTTACTTCTCGAATTAACCAATCTTGTTTCTCAAGTCTTAGTAAACTCGACAATAAAACTGAAAGAATTATTGTAGTATATGACCAATTTGTGAAGCAGATCTGATCTTCAAGGATTGTATTGTCGCGCGCGTGATTAACCAAGTCTAGCGAAGGATTCGCATACTTTGTTCCAGCATAAGGCGACTTGGTCCCGATAATTCACAATCGGTTCGCAAGAACTTAGTTAGCTCGCCCCGTCGCACCAATGTTGACGCGTGATGGCACCATTTTGGGAAACGCTTTTCTGTTAATTCTACAAGATATAGTACTAATTGAGTCTCGGAATTAAACAGCTCAATGGCTGGACAGGCAATTGGACGCGAGACGAACGTTTATGCTCTCTGTTTTTATTTTGCGCAGATGTGCAAGGTGATAGATGATCCGAGCAAAGGAGATGATGATTTCGCGAAATTGTATGGCGCGGCGAACATCTACTACAACTATAGCGGTGGCGTCTCGTGCTTTGATCTAATGGATGATTCCGATCCTCATGGCCTCGGCGGTTGGGCGTGGCAGGTACCCCACAAATTTTCACTCTCTTAAAAGAAAAATTTCTCCGTACGAATTATTTGTTGCTTGAGTTTCCAACTAAAAACCTTATCAACCAAGATGCTTGCAAATTATCATATCAATGATGCTAGAGATGGCAAGACTCATATATGAAATGGGTTTACTAAATTATGTGACCAATTTTTGTTGAGTGCTTCGATGGGCATACCAACTTAAAATTTAGTAAATCCATTTAGTTCATGAGCTCTTTCTTTTTGGTAGGTTGAGTAATTAAGAAGGTAGGAAGGACAAGAATTAATAATCATACGATTTACTGGTCGATTAGCATTATAACTTCTTTCTCTGACTATTGAGAAATGACTCGGTTTATCGAAAGAAGTTTCCATGAGATATCTATGGCTCTCCGTCAAATTTGTAGCTTTGAGTCATTGTGTCCTAGGTGGAGGAAAGAAGATGAGAGCGCAACCCCATTGCAAGTGAATTAACTTGTGAAGTCTCAATCTTCTTTGGTGATGAGATGTCCTCGCATCTTTACTTTTTGGATTAAAAAGTGGGCTCGCTTCGTTTGGGGAGGACCAATAATTACCAAAAAAAGCAAATGGAGAGAGTATCCAAGAGGAGCCTAAAGTGGCCGCCTTTGGCAAAACTTTGAGGAAATGAATCATTTCCTCGAAAATGATTCGCTCAAGGTGTATTTATTCAAAATAAATACCGTTTGGTTAGTGATTTTTGGTATTTATTCAAAATACCCCAGAGTTCGCCTCGCTTGGGGTCTCGGGACCTAGGCGTGGCGGCGCCAAGGTTGCATGAGCCCAGCGGTTGTCTCGCTTGGGGTCGTGCGACCCTGGTGTCACCACGCCTAGGTTGCACGACCTCGGCAAGGCGACCGTGAAGCTGATCAACACCGAGGGCTTCGAGTTCGTGATTGACAAAAAGGCCACCATGGGCTTCGACTTCAAGTTCCAGAGCTTCGACCTAAACTTCAACTTCTATCCGTTCCAATTTGGGGCTGATTACAAATTTGATTCTTGGCCACCATTCGCAACTGTCTATTGGCCTCTCCCAACCTTCGGCGGAGCTTCATAGGCGACCCAGATCTACGACAATGAACAGTGGCAAGCGAGGGCAAAATCAAAATCTGAAAAGATTTGAGAGGCCAATTTTGGAAAAAAAGTAAGGTTTATTAACTTTGGAATCCGTCTTCTAAAAATACTGAAAGCCCAAGGTAGATACCCACCTGACTCGGGTTTTTGACTTTGCTAAAGCCAATTTTTTGCCATAATGGTTTAAAAAAATTCACCAAACACTCTAATTTTTTCCTGTCCCAAAACCCTTGGGAAAGTAGTTCCCAGGGTTTTTAGCTTTGGTAAACCAAAATTTTCCCAAAAATGTTTTAAAAAAAAATTCACCAAACACTCTAATATTTTACCCATCCTAAAACCCTTGGGAAAGTAGCTACCAAACGCATCCAGTGTCTGGTTATTGTTCCCACGTTCTTATAGGTCCTTTGGATCTTAGATTGTCAATTCGATTTATTTTTTTTTATAAAAAGTAATTTTCATTTATTAATTCCATTTTGATTAAGGAAATCCAAGCTACAGCATGCAACGATTAAAAAAGATGTAAACAACAAAATGCCATCAGGTGCATGCACCCCCGAATCTATTTGAACCATAGAATATGATAGATCTTGGAAATAAGTAAGAAGCAGACATCACCAAATTTAAGGATCATGATGTATTTGGATTTACACACCTCACTCTATTTCATGCGTGTGTGTGTATATATATATATACTATAATGTGTATGTAATTTAAATATTAATGTGTTTTTCTTTCGTGTTATTGTGGTGACACCCACTCATTTCCACCGTGCCCAACAAAACCCATGGAAGCTATGTGCAGGTTGGGCCTAACCCAATCAAAATCAGCCCATGAAAAGTTTAAAATCAACAAAGATTTCTTGAATTAGGTTTTTGTCTTTTCGCTTCTAACGTTGCCATCAGGGGTAGAATAGTTTCTTAATTATCATATATAGCCCATCTTCACAATATAATCTAGCACAAATCATACGTGTCGAAATTGGAGAGCTCGGCTAGTGTTATTTTTTTCACCCCCAAAGACAAGAGTGCTATTTTCGCTTGATCTCTGGGAGTTATGCAAAGTTAAAGTTGAATGTGAATCTCACTATTCTAAATGCGCGAAATCTCGCGGGTCTTATCAATTTAAGTAATTAACTATACTTTTGTGGTATCCTCTCAATTAATGTCGAAATGGTGAGTCCTTTTTGTACCATTTCATAGTCTCCAACCTATTTTTAATGCGAGCGCTTGTGACCGTTGTTGTGATTCGTTTTCTTTCCCCGCAGGCATGCACGGAAATGATATTGCCAACAGGGGGCAATCGAGAGATGAGCATCTTCCCAGCTCACAAGTATGACTACAATGATAGAGTCGCCTACTGTGCACCTCGATTCGGCGTCGTACCCAGGCCAGCCTGGATCCCTACCGAGTTTGGCGGCCACGTGGGTAACTTTATACGAGTGTACATGATAATTTAGGAAGTTTCACAAAAGTTTTTATATCTCCCAGATCCTTACTTAGCGAATTTCAAAATCTGTTTATCCTGCCATCTAACCTGAATTTCTGTGTCCATGATTGTGTTTACTTAAAAAATGAACAGAACATAAGGAGGACCTTGAAGAGATTTGGGGGCAACATCATCTTCTTCAATGGCTTAAGAGACCCTTGGAGTGGTGGAGGGTCTCTCTCTCTCTCTCTCTCTCTCTCTCTCTCTCTCTCTCTCTCTCTCTCTCTCTCTCTCTCTCTCTCATAGTGGGAATCAATGATTTGATAATCCTGTCTCAGTGGTAAAAATGGCAGGGTGTTGAAGAGCATTTCCAAGAGCATTGTTGCAATAGTGGCCGAAAAAGGTCAGCTCACCGTCTCTGAAACTTAGCATAAGTGACTCTTCATTTTATGACTAAACGATACCACGAAAGGATATTAGTGTATCCCTTCAATGCAAGAAGTGAGGGACTATCTTCACATAAATGCTAGGCTGTCCACAATACGTACAATCGCATCATTAGATACAAGTGATGAAATTGATTTTCTAGGACATACAACAAGTTATTTTTAACCTTGGTAAGTTATCGATGACAGGGGCTCACCATGTCGACCTGCGATACTCGACTAGCGAAGATCCCGAGTGGCTTCAAGATGTGAGGAAGAAGGAGATCGAGATCATTTCGGGCTGGATCTCTCAATACTACCGAGACTTGACCAAATCGTTTTCCTAACTGTGGTTCTCCAACTCATAGTGCTTCTAGTTCTTCAACTATCCAAGTGACAGCTTTTACTCTAGGGATTAAAATTTGACTCTTAGATTTTGTTTTCGTAAATGTTTCTCGACTGTAATAGACAATTATCTGATTTTTCACATTACGTTTGATTCATCTAAATGAGTCACACACGCATTCGTGCAAAATGAAATGAAATACGAAAAAGTAAAAATTTCAGCCCGACGCTTCAATCAAATCCCCAATATAGTTAATGATGTGGGCTGAATCATGAGGCATGTGAATAGATGTTTGCCGCGAGCCTAAGACGACTAGGGTGACCCTGGCGCTGGAATTTGTGGCAATCTTGGTTAGCATGGCCCTAGAGTTTAGAACTCTTATCTTATCAATTTTCATTCTAAGATTTTTCTTAGCAAGGTAGACATTACCCTATTCAACATTATTGGGCCTATACACGTTTCACCTGAATATAACTAGCTTACGAAATTAATGTTTCTTAACCGATGTGACGGATCTTTAGTGGTGCGGAACTAAATATGACTCACTTATTCAAAAGTTGGTTTGCAATTTACCGTTTAATATGTCCAGTATGATTCTTAAGCAAAATGTACACTGGCTCGCAATCACTGAGAGCTTGGATCAAACAATAAAGACGGTCAATCATTGGTCTGTTGGTCTAATGATTCATAAGGATGCTGCTTTCTCCACCTTGTAACTTTGCCCATTTTGTTTGATACGCTTTGCTTGATCATGCATGTGTCTGGCAGAAGAGGTCCGACCTTAAGCTCTAAAATTGTCCATTAATCCGTCGGAATGTCAATTGTTCGGTCGAACTATTATTTCCTCGTATCGTTGCATTTGTTAATAGAATCCTTATTTAAATTTGTAACAATCATATCGGCAATTGCGCGTCGACCCTTGAGATTTTGGGGTGCAAATTTTTTCTACCCATGGTTTTTCTTAGGTTTTGCTATAACTACGACAATTTCAGTCGAGCAATATTCTTGTGACCACCCTCCAGTGTGACTTACAAGTTCAAAAACTCCTAGTTGAACTCGAACTTGTGCCAAGAACTCTGCAATTAATGGCATATACCAAATATAGTTAAGGTGAGTCAATTAATTTGATTTGACTAAGAAGATTTTCAAAAGAGGTACATGGCATGTTTCTAGCCAATCCGTGAACCTCACTAGCGAGCATTTGTTTCTCCCATTGTGGTGAGTATAACAAAAGCTCTCTCTATTAGATGTTTGGTTTAGAACTGCGCAGAGGTCTTCACTTAGGATTACTTGAGATTCGTCGTTTGGAGGTACATGTGTCACGACATTGCACCTGTAACGATGTGCTAGAGATTTAGACTGCATTCACCAAAGTGAGATGCATGCATTGCTATGGCAAATGGGTCCGAACTCATGACTTCACATAAGGTAATATCGTGCCGTACCACTAGGGGATCGATTAAGTACATGGGATTGTAAGTCGAAATCACCTGCTCACAAGGACTTCTCTCTCGTACCCCGACATCATTAAAAGTCCAATCGGTCAGTACTCCTAGGTGTTGGATGTTTTGTTCTTGGCCTTTCGAACCCTAAACCCTAACTCTCCTTCCTAAACTAAGCTAGCTGTTAGCTACAATTTATCAAATTATCTTTGATTCAATGAGGTCTACATTATTCTTCGGGAACTTGTTGAGGCGACACAACGAATTCAACCCTATCATGATATATGACGAAATCCGTCCCTCTTGACTTTAGAACCCAATGATGCATAGTTTTCCATACCTACCTAGGAAATTAAACCCTTAAACTAAAAGCAACTCTCTTCTTTCACTTCCATCAAGAACAAAATTCATTGTAATTTGAGTTGGTATTAGAGGTGAGCGTTTCCATAATCGGTCCAGGTTCCATCTAGAACCTACCCATGGGAACACTTGAAAACCTACTATGCATACTCTAGAACACGGAACCTACACTGTCACAGGTTTCGAGATTTACTCGGGTTCTATCTATATTCTTAATTGAACGATTATAGAGAAGCATCATCTCTAATGACCACCATTTGCCAGCTACAATCCACTAATTACAACTTATATTTAGACACACAAAGAATATGAAACATTAACAAAGTAAAAGTTTCAGTCATAAATATTGCCAGAAATGAAAGTTCGGACTAGTGGTTACAGATTACACACTCATCATCGGATGCCATGGAATACTATAAGATTGTGCGAAGATATAAAACAAGAAAAACACAAAAACTCGTTCCAGGTTTCACCTGGAACCTACCTGTTGAAATCAATTCCCCAATATTTGGAACCTGGAACTTAGAATCGGACCGGTTCCCAATTCTACTCTAGGACCATGCTCATCCCTAATTAGTATATGCATGCTAGGCAGCAACAATTATATTATTCCCATTTCAGGATGACCCAGAAATCCAATTTCCCATCTTTCTCGAAAATGAAGACGATGCTCAAAGAGAAGAGACAGACAATGAACTTCAGTGTTCGACGAAATCTCACGTTGCAATGCAGGCCAGGGGGATCTTCATTTTGCTTGTGGAATGAGGAATATACAGGTCCAGGATTTTGTTGTTTCCTTTCACCTTTTTCCCTTATCGTAACACCAACTGACACACACTTCATAGGTCATAACTTTCCTTAAACAGATGCCTCATGGGAGTTGTCATGTTTCCACCCAGGCGATACTACCATAAACCATAAAGATTTGCCGATTGCAAAACCTCCATGAGAGTACGAATTCACCTCCTGGTAGATTCCTCCATCGCCCAGCCCTGGTTTTTCTTTTTCCTCAAGGCATCCCCCGTTTCTGGCCCAAGCAAACTTCTTTCAGATAGTCAAGAAAATCTCCCCATTTCGGCCCCTCTAGACTATAGTGTTTGATTTAATCCCCCGACCATGATGAAGTATGCGCCAAAGCAGCAGCCACACGCAAAAGAGCAAACCAATTGCGAATGAGAGTTTTTAAGATTTAAATGCCAAGTTGGTTGGGATGCGTGTACCGTGTGCTTCGCTAATGTGATCGGTCGACTTTGTCTTGTGCCAGGCATGTGACCGATGCGTAAAACACTTCATTCTCGACCCCGGTGTGATATCAGAGAAAATATGATTCTCGTAAAAGTCACAAAGAACCTGTCTTCCATGGTAAAGGACGGAAAGTTCCTAGCGTCCTCTTGATGCAATGCAACAACATGCTTGCTTTCTATAAAATGAACCATTCCTAATTTTATGTTTGCATGGCGAGAAGTTAGCAGAAAGATGTTTTTCTGTGACTCTTGAACTACATGTTCTTGCCTATCATTATATACTTCTAGTTTTTGGCCTAGTTCTATTTTAATATATCCTTGATATTCACATGAACTTTGACTAAGGTTCATGTATTCATCTCGAGAGTGTTATATGACATTATGGACTTAGAGTCTGCGATATATATCACATGAGTGAAATGATGAGGTGATATTTTATACCTACATCTAATGATTTACATTATCGTTACACCCTTATTAAAATTACAATTTAGAAAAGGTTTATTTAAAGAAATCAAAAATTGTATCAACGTGTGACTTGATATTTTGTGCTTGACAAAAAACTTTTCCTATTCATATGTGTGCCACCAATAGAAAGGTCAGATGATGACAATTCCACCCTTTTGCAGGGATCAAAAGGTTGTTTCGGTCTACTATGGAGGCGTTTTCTGTCTGAAAGTCACAAACAAATATAGACAACAACATAGTTTAATGAAACTATGCTATAATTTGAATGACAGTGAATTAGATTTATTGCACGCGAGAGCGAGAGAGAGAGAGAGAGAGAGAGAGAGAGAGAGAGAGAGAGCAGCAGTGACGAGATGTTATCATAAGTGCAGGATTGGAAGTCATTGGTTGGCCCGTTATATTGCAAAAAGCAACAATACAATGCCCGCAGTACTTATCTCTTCGTGACTAGAACTAGACAAACTTCAATTCTCGCATTTAAAGGGAGCAAATCCATTCAATTCGCCAAGCACCACAATCCGCGTGAGTTTAGCAGGCTCAACTTTTTAAACTAAGTAAACAAAATTCACTCATCACAAAAGAAGTAAAATCACAGGAATCGCTTTTATGACTTTTTCCAAAGTATATTCTTTTGCACATAACTCAATCCTGCACATAACTCAATCCTAAAAGCATCCGTTAATGTGATATTTATATAGGACATGTCATTTACTGATGATGTTTTGCATTAAACTATCCTAATTTTTCGGCTCGACTAATGTCTAGCTATACATGCTTACTACCATCTCATTCACGTGCGAATCGGATAGGGTTCCACCTATAGGGTGGCTCACATGGGAGCGGAGGAATTTCTACCATGGTGTCTTTGCACCGCAACAAAGGACACATATCCATCACATTTTTCGTAGGTTGAGGACCTCGAATTGCCTCAAAACTAGGTGGCGAAGGTGCGGGCTCGAAGGTGGAGGGGCCAAGGAGCCACAGTCGAGGGTAGGGGGAGCGAGGCAACAATGGAGACTGAGACAAGGAGGATACACAAAGATGGAGATGTGAATGGGGAACTAAGATCTGACCGGAGCAAGGGAGAATAGGGATGCCGATCGTGGTGGTGACGGAGGTAGGTAGTGGCAACGTGATGACAAGTGTGGAGGAGACGGCACGATCAGGCTCAGCAATGACATTTTGTCATGGCGTGAGGAGAGAGAAAACGAGAGGTTTTTTTCCTCAAGTGCGAGAGAAGGAGATCCCGTCGAAGTGCATATGTGTCACAATATAGGGGCGTGGAGCCACTACGAGGGGACAATGCGTGGGAGCAATAGGCTCTTAATTGTCATGATTCCCGATATGATATCAAGTGAGAGACACTATGACCAGAACACGATAAAACCGTTAGATCAAATGCCTTAGACCAAATGCTTTACCGAAGGATGTTGGGGATCTCACATGATTCATGTCTATTGTTATATGCCCCCAATATGCATATAATATATAGAATTAGTTTTCCCAATCTCAGATATATGCTCCAAATAAACAGCAACATTTAATTGATCAACTATTCCCCAATTTAAAAAAGATTAACATAGGTCTCTCGCGTCCTCGCACATCTCTCTCTCTCTCTCTCTCTCTCTCTCTCTCTCTCATCCTGTCGTCCTTTCATCATATCTAAAAAGTTAACCCCACCTCTCCCGCATAAAAACCCAAACGCTTCCCTCCATCTCTCTCGCCAAATTCATCATTTGAAAAGACACATCTCCTCTTACATCTTCTTCTTCTTCTTCTTCTTCTTCGTCTCCTCGAGACATGTCACTTAACCACCCCCTCTCTACTTCAGACAGCACCCCGAACACCCTCTGGTGGACTGCCCACCCCACCATGTTCCACCAGCACAACCTCCTCAACTTCAACCCCACCGACGACGACCCACAAGACGAAGGCTCGCCGCCGCCGGCGGAGCTGCCGTCGTCGTCGTCGGCGGAGAGGGAGCCGATGTTCGAGAAGCCGCTGACGCCGAGCGACGTGGGGAAGCTGAACAGGCTGGTGATACCCAAGCAGCACGCGGAGAGGCACTTCCCGCTGGTCGGCGAGGCGACGCAGCTGCTGAGCTTCGAGGACGAGTCCGGGAAGTGGTGGAGGTTCCGCTACTCCTACTGGAGCAGCAGCCAGAGCTACGTCCTCACCAAGGGCTGGAGCCGCTTCGTCAAGGACAAGCGCCTCGACGCCGGGGACGTCGTCCTCTTCCACCGCCACCGCGCCGACTCCGACCGGCTCTTCATCGGTTGGAGGCGGCGAGGGGAGCCGTCGCCCGGTGTGCCCACGGTGGCGGCGGAGACCGGTGGCGGTGGCGGTGGCGGGGGGTGCTATGCCGTGCGGCGTCCTTATCCTGGGCACGATGATGGGCCGTCCCAACCTGGCTCCTATACTCATAATCAAGCGGGTAATTGGTTGATTTTTTTTTTGTTCACGTTATATTTTTGTCTCTCTTTGAAAAGAACTAAAATAAAAGATAAAGGCTAGAATTTACCATATAGTAGTTTGTTTTCTGATTAGGTTTATTATTGCATTTATGGTGAATGTTGATGGCACTTCAGTTCCCTAGAAGGAAACGCAACTGTACGAAATCAGATTTTGTTTGCACATTTCCTCTACTGTATATAGTAAATGGGCAATAAATTCAAAAAAAAAAAAAAGAGCATGACTTTCTTTCTTCTGTATTTTTTTTCAACCAGGCTGTAGAGATGAATATAGGAAAAATTTTGGACTATTTTTAGCTAGAGATTATAAGGATGTATTTGACACATGAACTTACCACACGGTTAGTACTCACGATTACACGGGTTTTGTGGCTCCGATACCAGGAGGCGCACCCACGGCGGCGGGGAACAACCCGAGGAGGGTGAGGCTGTTCGGCGTGAACTTGGAGTGCCAACTCGACGGCGACGAGGAGTCCGAGCCACCGCCGGGCTCGAGCCACGGTCCGACCCACCACGACCTCTCCTCTAATTCATCAAACTCTGCCCCGTCACATGGTACGCCTAACTGTTATCTCTTATTTTTTATTCTTATCTTCTGACAAATTATAAGTATGTTCATAAAGCGGCAAGTCTCTTGTTACTATTATATGGATTATCTAGTGAGGTCCCCTCTAATCAGACACAACGCACGGATAATATATTATAAAGGGCATTTAATGAGAGTTCCTCCACATGGGGGCAAAGATCAAATTGGTTTCCTAACCTTGGAAAAGTCAAAATTCAAATTGGTTTCCTATACCTTGGAAAGGTTCTACATTTAGGGTGTCAAATATCATCCAGGAGTTACTTTTTTTTTAAAATTATTTAAGGAGTAATTAGTGGTATGATTTCCCATGCTAATCGATAATAATTTCCGACCAAAACATTTCGTCCATGCGATATCCCATAGGGATGTTAAAAGAGTGATCAGATCACATTACCATGTACGGTGCTTTTAAAGTGTTTCGATGTCTGCTGCTCTAGAAAGTAAAGTAATTGTGGGTATTTTGGCATGCATATGAATCAAATAGGTGTCTGTGTCTCTGGGTTTAATTCGTGTGAGTGGTGTGATTTGCTAACTACTTGAAGGGTTATCTGAAAAAATGCCATTTTTTCATTTGAGAACAGTTCCCTTTTGATTCTTGGCTTGCTGTTTCGTTGGTGCAATTCTAGAGGAGAACTGTAGACATCACAAATTGCATTCATCTGTACTCCTTGAATATCTTAAAACTGAGAATGCAAGATCTGCTCCTATGATAGTAATAATTGGTCACTGTTCTCATCGGATACGGACCTTCTAATCAATGATTTATTGCGCTATCATGTTTCGTTTGGTTCATGGAAAAGGGACATGTGATAGAATAAAATCCGCCCCTGAAATTGACTGACAGTAACACGTACCCCCCAAAGAAGAAAATGCGGAGAGGGCACTGATTCCTACAACAACGTTGTGCGGTTTTTGTTTTTGGTGTCTATTCCAACAGGGCTTCACTTTATCTGAGGAAGATCGTGTCAACCACAAGAGAGATCGCCGAGGATAAGATCTGTGGACGTGACTTCTCTTTCTTTCTTTTTTATCCTTTTTCTTTATTAAATTGACTGGCCGAGCCCAACTTGGAGTGATCATTGGAAATATTCACCATTGACAAGAAAGGGTCAAACAAACAAACAAACAAGAAAAAAAAGAGAGAGGAGAAAAATCCCAGATTTTCAGGCGATCCTAGAGCTCACGGCAAAGGGAAATCATATTGATCAAGGAAGGGCAAGAAACAAAGAGAGACTGTAGATGGGAACATGAAGCGAGAGAGAGAGAGAGAGAGAGAGAGAGAGAGAGAGAAGGTGGGAAAAGGACCCCACAAGGGAAGAAAAAGAAGAAGAAAAGCAAGAGATCATCTCTTCAGCAATGTCAAATGGTTGAAATCAGGGGTCCATTTGCTGCTTGAGATTCTATATATCTCCTTGATTTCTTTCTTTTCTTTGATCCACGTAATGAATTATTGAAATGGGATTTGTTCGAGTACTAGCAAAACACAACAAAAAAAAAAGGGAAGAAAGAAAAAGGGAAAGGGACGGTGCTGGTGGGTGGAGCTGAAGAGAACATTGATGGTGATAGCAGGTCTCTCTCTTCTGTACATACATCTATTGAAAGTGACCAATAATTTAATCTTCTCATGTGTTTTTTATGATTCGCATGGCCTGGATTTGTATTTGAGTATGACCCAACATCAAGCGATGTGAATAGAACTTGATCGGTACTTTAAAAAAGTGGTCCTTGGTATAACATTGAGAGCCAAAAAGGATCAAGCAATCTCAGAAGATAACAAGAGGTCACCCGAAGCTTGATGGGTATGGGACAGCCCTTTTATTTGACCAACTCGCATCTTCCCTATCTTCTTATTGGGCATTATCTGGATTTAAAGTACTATACGATTGGTTTTCGATCGACGCCAATGATTAGCACGCTTAGTTTATCATACTCAAGCTTCTGAACTTCCATGCGCAAGTCAACATCCAGTGCCAATTCCGGACGTTTCTTCAACTCCACTTTTAAGCCGCACCTTCTTTCATTGCCGTTAGCGAAGCTCTAAACAAATGGACCCAAGGAAATATAATTTCTACTTCTATTGCCCATACATGGTGAGCTAGGGAATGGCGATAGGGCAGTCCCGAATTATGTGTGACCAATCATAAGGCACTGAATCCGGTAGAACGGAGAGGAGGATGGCTGCTCAAGCCAAGACAACACTTACGTCACCGTAGGATCGATATAGCTAAAAGCGAGAATCCCTATGTCCTTCGTGGCGAAGAGTTGCGAATATATCTAAAACTCAATTAGGCCTGGAGGTCCCAATGCGACAAACCTCGTGCATCTTATAGCCCAAGTATATTTTCCCTCCTAGGCAGCAATCCATTCTAATCCTCATGAAATATGAATGAATCCCACAACAGATTACGAGCGAATGATGATTCGGTTCAAAAGCTTCTTGCTGAATAAACATCTAGCTCAAAAGTTCCCTTCGGAAGTGGATCGATCCCATGATCCATATCAAGTTCAGATGCGATATTCGACCTCATTTGAATCTTCAGTGCTTCATAAAATTGAATATCGCGGATTCAAACAGCTCGCAAATAGCAAAACAAGGAATATAACAAGTAGGAAACAGGATATTAAGGCACTCAGCGCCTAAACTCTGTAATATATCATTCATACAACAACCATTCATACATCAATTGTAATCATATTTGTGTGAATCTCTTAGGAATATCATGAGCTGCGATGGTCCCACAAAGATTAGGACAAGAGAAGGAAACCCATTGACCCGAGCAAATCGATCTACCTCAACTTCGCAGTGGCCTGAAGGCAAGTGGAAGGGGGTCCCCTCTAACATGCTAAATTGCTGATGGTTAATAATTCGTTTTGAGGTGATGGCAAATCAATCGGATTCGGAGTCTCCTCTGGCCATATTATTGGCCAGAGTAACACATTCAATCATGGCATGCCTGAGAACAGTCGCATTTCAAGGAAAAACATGTGCTCCATTTTCCTTCTTGTCAGGCCTTTTTCTTCCCTATTCAGCTCTCAAAGTCAACCTCATCGCCCGCGCTCCAACCGACTCATGGAAGAATGGGACACCCCTTTCTGAATTAGATCTCCTGGAGAAGAAGTGAAATGTACCAGAATGATGTGAACACAGTATTCCCCATCATGTCTTTTGAGACTGAGAGTCATGAGATATCTCCAGAATTTAGCAAATATTAGACAGAACTTCATTGGATAAATTTATCTTAACTCTCAGGTCTCTGAAATATATCTTACTTGGATTAAAAAAACTCATGTAATTGTTCATATTCTGGGAAAGTGATCCCTTTATTCATCATGTCCGAGGGTACATGCTCTAGAGAAGGAACAGGAGTCAGCTTCTCTTTTTAGGGGAACCATTTGAGGGTATGGGTCCTGAAACTTCATTCGGTCAACAATATTGTCCAGTCATTTTCAAAGAGTGCCAATTAATATACCCGAATCTTAGAAAAAGAAAAAGGCTTCCCAGTCTTGTCTAGGTAGTTCCATTTTGAACAATATAGCTAGACAGACGATTCGGTGGAAATGGGCATGATTCCGCTGAAGGACGAACATCGTTCCCCACAAGAAAGCAGGCAACAAGGAACTATCAAAATTTAACAAACACTTGATATCTAGCAAACAGAAGATCCTCAACTCCTGAGCACAAAACCAAAACACAAACAACGGAGCCAGACCAGCTTGCGAAATGTATCTCATTCGGCCTGTTTTTCATTCTTTAAGTCCAAAGCTAATTCACGATGTGCAAAGGTAGCACCACCAATTCAAAACTCTCTTTATCCATGCAGAAAGGCATGGCCCAACCCAATGGTGAGGCAAAGGAAATAGAACAAAAGATAGACCAAAGAGGATGCTTATGAAAGAGGAAGGACAACCAGAAATGCTGGACAAGTAATCACTCAATTTGCTTCTTTCCATTAGCATTGAAAGATTGGATGATTCCACAGGACCTCAGAGTGCTTTCAAAATAACTACTGCCTTTTCCTCGATGTACAAATAAATAATCAGATAAGACCTCAGTGGTACTTTTGAGCTGTGGGCATTCATCGGGCATTAGAAGCACTCAATTTGACCAAAAATCATGGAGGAAAGCATCACCATTGTCTAACTAAAAAACTTTAATTGCATTCTTCTAGATTTCTCCGGGAAAGAAGAAGCATGACAGTAGAGAGGAATATACAAGACTTGACACATTAAAGGCTCAGCCTAGCAAACTGTTAACAAAAGTACAAGCAACCATAATAAGCGATTATTTCCAAGTAATATTTTCTACCCTGGATGGTTAAGCTACAGTTAACATCATCATGAGGAAAACATAGGCAAGTGATTTGTCACAAAGGTGTTCGGAAAGAACTTGATCTTTGGAAGGACACACCTCGCAAGATCAATCAATTCATCTTTTCAGGTGCATCACCCATCTTCTGAGATGTAGTATCTCCTTTCTTTTCCATCACCTGTTGGACACCTTCTTGATATCCTTCTATAAAGCTTTTAAGAGCATCCCTATATGCAGAAGCTCTCATCATGTACACCCGCTGCAAAGCAGGCCTTAATGTTTCCATTCCCCCTCTTGCAGCCAGAGCTATCAAATTTGTTCAGTACAAGAAAAACAGACTTAATATAGAAATCTTTTTATGCAACTTCTGTCATAAATGCAGCCTCAATTTAGATGTCAAACTTCAGCATCCTTTTGTCACTCCTATTGACTGCTTTTCTCATTCATTCTTTGAATCCAGTTCACAAGCAATCAACAGTATGAGCATACAGGTAACAGGTAACAGAAAACAGGACAAAACGACAGAACATTTTGTTGATAGGCAAAACAGTTAGTCACGTAATGTCGATTTTAACAGCTAAGCTAACCCTTCGACAACCTAGAAATAAGGTGAAGTTGTGAGGGAAGGGTCATATGATTCAAGGCAATGGACTCAGTAGTAATGTTAGCTTCGCTAACAGAGGAGCCTCTTCAAGGACACTGAAACTTTTGATGGCTTGATGGGGAAGTTAGAGTAAGTATTTCACAAGAGCAGATCTGAAGAAAGTAGCAGGAGTGAGGCATGCAATTTCAGGCCATAGGATAGTCATGCTCTACATGGCACGTGGTTTCAGGCCCTACGATAGTGACGCCCTGCATATAGATGCAAAGGGCCCCATATGGTTCCCCATCCTTATCGAGTTGTTTGATTTTTTGTTTCAGAGTGAGGGAAGGAAAAGGGGAGGAGGGGGGGAGTGGTAATAGGAAACGTGATGCAGATTGATTTTATTGGGGGTGAGACATTTAAAATCCTTTCAAAAACATGGGAAAATAAAAACTTTCTTATCTCCTATGATTCCTAGCAAATCCAGCCCATTATCTGTGGAAATGGTGCTTCTGCAAGCTTTACAAATTGATACCTCAAGGCTTTCTTCCAACCACTGCCAGATATCGTTCAACATTTTTCGTTGATTAGAAGAGGCATATGTAGACATTTCGTGCATCTTACAGATCAATAAAGTACTGACTAAATGTTTGAGAGGATGATAAGTGAGAAGAAAGTTCGGTACTACTTAATCTTCTACTACAAATCCATAAATGCAGAGAGTCAAATTGCTTCAGAATCTTCTGTTATGTCTAAACTTCCAATACAGCCATACTCTCACAGCAGAGCCAAGTCGCAATACAAAATCTACCAGGAAAACATATCTAAGGCACACATGGTAATGTCCATCACCATGATGAAGAAGCAGACTTCCTACAGGATCTTTATATAATATAACTCGAACCCATGCATTATGCATAGGAAAGGATATGGCACATCTGTTAATTTTAAGATGACAATACATGTTGGACAAATTGCATCTCCAGCGCCAAAAAGCAATTGACTGGAATATCAGAGGTTCCTTTTTGTCCTGTCAGGTGCAGGTGGGGGTTAAGTGAGGGTAGTTATTTACAAAAGCGTTGCTCATGAAGCCAAATACCATTGAAGATGCAGTACTACTCCCAAATCCCCGTATAAAGATATATATGACTGCAGGCCACTCGGGCACCTCTAAGGCTCAAACATTGATCTGCCATTATAATATCACTGCCATGTAAAATGTCGCAACCATGTCAAGTGACTAAGCAAGTAATACGATGCCAAAATTTCCAATTTCATAGGAAACAAGTTGGATACTTTAAGACAAGTTCCAAATTCAAGGCAAAGCAGAAGGAAATCTTAAAGAAGAAACTCTTGCACCAACAAACTTCTACTTTTAATGACTAGTAAATTAATTTGTAAGCTATTTGATTGAAGGGAGTCTACCAGCCAAGCTTTTGTAGATCAGTAGATCGAAGCGGCTTTTTAAAGGCTAGAAGGGATATTTGATTGGATCAAAGTTAGTGCGCCATAATATAAGTCTGCAGCTTATTCCTAATGATCTAATCGGGATGGGGCAGGCAGCCCAATACATGAAGAGAAAACTGAGTAGGGGGAGTTCCTCGATGCTAAGGTGTCAAGGCGGTCGAAGAAAAGCAGAGGTCCAAGCAACCAATGCTTTGATTGTGGCTTATGTTGGGAGTGACCAGAATGCTAATTTCTATAACAAAAGCCAATTGACAAAAACCACTTATGCCTGACCATTCACCTGGAAACAATCTAGATCAAAAGGCATTCCTAAACTCAATAGGTGCTCATTTAGCGAGTTGATTGTGAATAGAGAGTACTTGCAATTGGACAATCTGAGACGATAACCTCTTCAGCCAAGCCAAAGAAGGCATCGGCTCATATCAACCTGTCCTAAAACAGAACGAGCCAGAAAGATCAGCATGCAAATCTCAACTTTTCTTGAGACCGTATTGGCACAAGATCCATTTCTGACATCAAATCATCGTTATAGTGGCCTACAACGTGTTCATGAAGCTTGTTTTCAACACTTTTTTATTTTATCTTTTCCTGGTTCAGAAGACTTGTCTCTGTTATGAACTTTACCATGTGGACAACTAGTCCTGTGCAAGAACAAAATCTGACAGTGAGGTTTTCTGAACTACAACCCCAACTTTCCCCGGCATGAGTAGGCTAATAGAACAACGGTGAGCTCAGGTAACATGCTTGATTTGAATCTCAAATACTTGTAATTATTCATGCTGGTCTTCAGAATCACATGCTACCTCTTCAGACAATTCCTAGTTGAGTTAATTGAAAATAAAGATTACATATCTTTATTTTCCCTGAATCCAACCAGCTGAACGAAGGATAAAACACCATTCTCATGCTCAGCATCAAAAAAATCACAGATACAAGAACAGTGCATTACAAGGAATGAGAGACTGACACATGGAATGAGCACACATTCGGGATGAGATTTACCTCTGTAGGACATTTAACTGTTGAATGATAATATCACAGCAATCATCTCAGAACGATGCTAGCTTATAGAACTGTTTTAAGTCCCCAAGAATTAAATTCAGAAAGAAGGCACTTACCGAGATCCTCTAAAGTCGAAGGTTCTTTCTCTTTAGCCACTTTTTTGGCTCCGCTGGGCTTGTCTTCACTGTCTTGACTATCTTCATCTTTCTTGTAATCATTCGGTCGTAGCTCAGGACCAATATCGCGTACCCAGCTTGCAGCGTAAAGCCTAGATGCCTCCTTTAACACCTGAAGACAACAAGTAATTGACTCAGATAGATTGTCACGACCCAAATTTCCATTCTCCAAATTGAGTAGTGACACAGCCATCGACCATGAGATTTTACTCTCAAAGCTAATGAAGCCAATTGAAGAACCTTGAATAAATTGTTCAAATGTGTTGTACATAATTGCGGAGCAACTAATACTTCAAATGTTCCAACAGTATTACGAATTATTACATTGCTACTAAGTCCAAACACAATCTTTTCGTTCATTAAATATAAATTCTGACATTATCCAAATAATGTTCTAAAATTTTATCTAGCTTCTAAATAGTAAAAGAGATTCACTCTTTATCTTGTCTCCAAAGTCCTTGATTTTATCTTCTAATCTTCTTTGGAATCCAAAAGTTTGGGAGATAAGTGAGCATGAACCCGCAGTCAGCAATTACTCACCTCCTTACTGTGGGATTGAGCATGCTCAAAATAATTTACTAGAAGTTTTTATAACTAACTAAATAAAAAATCACATTAGATTCTTGTCGTAAGATAATAAGCACAATTCATAAATAGCAGTGAAATACAAAACAAATATTCTATACAGCACAATGCAAAGATTCAAAAGTTTCTGAAAATTAAAATCTTTTTTGCTCTTAGTTCTACAGCCACATTTTGCTCTGTGACAGGTCCAAGTAAATTCGATCCATATTAATCAGTGGCTCAGCTCTGATATTTTGAATGAATGAATACATAGCCCCATTTTAGGTGTCTGAAGTTCTTATTGTAGTAACTAAGAGCGTTGGATATCAAAACAATCAGATCAAATATCTCCAGTTCTTATGCCAGAATTGTATTTCGAAGAAGATAGATGGCTACAAAATCAAAGATTATTTTTCAAATCGTTTCCATACCTGATCCATTTTTCTAAATTATCGTCAACACGAAGAAAAAATAAACATAGAAGTCAGTAAGCAATCACTTACCTTCTCAAACTGCAAATAAGTCAATCCTTAAGATCCTTGGAAATCACTTAATTTCAATATTTACAATGATCTTCTGCTTGCTAAGCAACCTCGATTTCACTTTATACATTTTCTCTCTAAATGTCTAATTTTTCGAATGAATGTCTCGTCTCCTTCCTCTCATCTGTATAGATTTTGAAGACTCGTATCCTTTCTCCCAATCATTGTTGTATTGAATAACAAATATAGGCTCTTAATGTAACTCAATTATGCTAGCTTTATTGAACTCATCTGAACTCTAAAGTACTTAGAAAAGATGTGCATATTTATGCTTCTAGCAATTCATGCAACTTCTGTTTCTTCTATCACACCTTGTTAACTCTCAAAAATAGATGATCCCTTATAGAATTCCTACCCATTCGTTTCTTCAATAATAATTGCTTCAGTTATGTCTCTTTCTACTTCCTTTCATTTTGCTTTCTAACTCTAACCACCTAGATAGCGGTAGAGACATTTCGGTCAATACTTCCTAATCCATTGTTTTAATCTACAACACTAAACATACTTTCAGTAGTTTTACACTAATTCTGCACGTATGCCACTCTCTCTCACACTAGAAATCCAAAAATAAAAGGACTTTCTGAGTGGTCACGCCCAACAATGCAGCCTATAACCATGGCAAAGGAAATCAACTAATATTCTGTACCGATCGCTTGACCAACAAAGGGTGGCTTCCAGCATAAGTGCGACGAACGGCCTTAAGAGTCAAATTAACAAACGGGTGACGTGCAAAAGTCGAGGTAACAATTCACCTCACCGTTTCCGACGATACCCAACAATCAAAAACGTTACTTTATCGCATGTTATAGGTAATTCGCCAAGAATCAACTGAGAGAGAGAGAGAGAGAGAGGGGTGATTACGAGAAATCGCTCGTGCCAGGTGAGCTTGCGACGCTTCTTGATGTGAGGAGGGTCGGGCAACGAAGAGGGGAAGGCGATCTCCTTCAAGTCGTGGCGGACGTAGTCGGACAGCTTCCTGCAGACCACCCTCCACTTCATCTCTCAACTGTCGAGCGCGAGCGTGAGCCAGTCCCCCGACTTTGTTGCTCATCCACCGCGTTTCCACTCTCCTTCTACCTGAACTCTTCCAATGTAGTCCCCTCCTATATCCAATATATGTATATCCCTCGAATCAACTGAGAGAGAGAGAGAGAGAGAGAAAGAGAGAGGCTGTCACACTCTCGCAGTGGCCCTCTCCTCGTCTCCGAGCGAAGCTCGTGGCGGGCCTGGTGGCGGCACGACCGCCGTCGTCGAAGCTCGTGGACTAGAGGCGGTGTTGCCGGCGACGCGCGAGAGAGAGAGAGAGAGAGACTCGGGAGCGGATTGCGCCGGAGCTCGTGGAGGGTCGCCACCCGCGAGTGGCCGCGCCGTCGCAGGGAGCCGCGCCGTCTGCGATGGATCTCCGACAGCCTGAAGCAGACCGGTTCAACCCGAATTAAATATTTAATGGTGATCGATAACTATTCTATTTTTTTTGTTTATTCTGTTTTCAGAAACAGATTTTTTTTTTTTATTTCTCGAACAAATTTTTAGTCCAGAAATAGATTTGCAACAGAAATGAGAAGTAAAAGTTTTTAAGTTTTCTATTTTTGAAAAAATAAAGGAAAAATAAAAATACTCTTTCTCATTGCTCGCCTCCGCCTCTCGCCATTGGCCAATAGTCGTCACCCCCACCGTCCGCCTACCGACCGCTGCCACCCCCCACTGGCTATCTACTTGCAGCCATCGCCGCCCCCTCGGACCGCCGCCAACGCCCGCCATGGGCCGCCGCCACCCCCCATCAGCTGCTATCCAACAATGAATGGAAAAGAGAGTAAAATGGGAGAAATTGTGTGTTCCAGAAAAATAAATTTCGTGTTGTTATCAAACACATGTCTCTGTTAAGAAACTCGTCAACGGAAGAAAATAGAATAATCTAACCATAAATCTATTTATGAAATAGAATGATCATATCATTCGAGAACTTGGTTTCTAAGCCTAGATGTAAAAGACCGAAAATTCCAGGCCGGGTGGGTAGGGTGGGGCTATCAGGCCACCGGGCACTTTTACGCATTTAATGTAAGATTGATATAAAGGTGATGCCCGATGTGGACATGCAAACAACGTAGGATGGAGAGACGTGGGTGGGGATCGTCATGGGAGGAAGCCGATCATTGCACACGATCACTGAGAATATAACACGCAAATCAGGGAACACAAAAGGAATAATCTGGGCGGGTACAACATCACATCGCCAATGAATTGAAAACCTTTTACACACCCTTAACAATCTCTCTCTCTCTCTCTCTCTGTGGAGAGGAAGAAGAAGAAGAAGAAGAAGAAAGGATAAGACTCGTTCAAACAACATGTTTACACGTCTCGTTCCCCTCTTCTGATGGATCCTCAACCCGCGGCTCCAAAGCTCCACCTCGTCTCTCTCCCCAGGAGGGAACTCGCCTATACCCTCTCGTTCCTCTTCCTGTTGATCTCGTCCGTGCTCGTCTTCAATCTGTCGAGCCCCTCCTTAGGGCTCGGCTCGTTCGCGCGTCCCGGTTTCCTGTCGCGCATCCTGCCGAAACCCTCCGCGGGAAGGTGCGATTACTCGAGGGGAAGGTGGGTGAGAGACGAGGATCGCCCGCTTCGGTTCTACGACGAGAGCTGCCCGTTCCTCGACCCGGGGTTCCGGTGCAGCGGCAATGGACGAAAGGACGGCGGCTATCTTAAGTGGAGATGGCAACCTTATGGCTGCGAGCTCCCAAGGTATATTAGTTCGGTCGCGTGCACGTTTTTATGCATTTGATACAGGTCCTTGAGCTAGTCTCATTGACACTCTCAGTTTTAAATCTTGTTTATCATCTGTAACCAAAAAATGATAGAAGAGAGCAACTTTCGTGGAAAATATTGTCGGTTTTCCCACAGTATCGGTCTTTGTTAAAAATCTGAGCAAAGCCAAATGAACTCTTGATGTGGTTCTCTCAATTGGTTAGATTCAATGCAAGCAAGCTCTTAGAATGGACACGAGACGGAAGAATCGTGTTCGCCGGAGATTCAATCGGAAGAAACCAGTGGGAGTCGCTGGTGTGCATGCTTTCGCAAGCGGCATCCAAATCTTCCATATACGAAGCAAATGGGAACCCCATAACCAAGCACAAGGGTTACCTCTCAATCCGATTCCAGGAATACAACCTGACCGTTGAGTATTACCGAGCTCCATTCCTGGTAATGGTCGGGCGCCCGCCGCCGAATTCTCCTAGCTCCGTGAAGACCACGGTCAGGATCGACGAGTTGCATTGGTACTCGAAGAATTGGGAGGGCGCGGATGTCCTCGTTTTCAATGCCGGGCATTGGTGGAACGCAGACAAGACTGTTAAAATGTATGGAGTAATATGTGACCCGATTCTCAACTCGCACATACCATTGTAGAGATGTTAATGTTCCTGCGATAATATCGTTCGTCTTCGGTGTTTGTGTTCCAGGAACAGCTTCTTTCAGGAGAAGGGAAGCGTGAACCTGACAATGGATGTCATGGAAGCCTTTAGGAAGTCACTACAGACATGGAAAACGTGGGCATTGAACTGCTTGGATCTCCAAAGAAGTCACGTTTTCTTCCGCGGCTATTCTCCTGTTCACTACAGGTATACGAATTACCAAATTCTAGTAGATAGAGCAAACCCTCAGGCTTGTGTCAACTTCATGATACTTTTCCACATGGTGATTAAAGGAGAGCACAGCAAAAATCTGGATTATGTTTGAAACTTTCCTCCCATTTGTCTCGTAGAAATGAACTGAGTAAACGGAATGCAATCACGTCAAATTGAAATGAGTAAAATGAATGCAATTAAATCACGACAAGGTGTCGCTAGGATTTCTGCGTTTTGCTCCTTTGTAAATCGCACAGGTAGCATGCTCGTACATTCATATTCTGATTGGAGGAACTCTGTTCACCACTGAGCGCGAACAATCAAACTGCAGGAATGGGACATGGAGCGAAGGTGGTACGTGCAACAACAACAAAGAGCCGGAAACTGACTATACAAAACTGGAAGCCGAACCACTGAATAATTTGTACATTTCAAACACGGTTGGCGAGATGAAAGGCAGAAATAGGAAGGTTCAGTATCTAGACATCACATTTCTGTCAGAGTTCAGAATAGATGGCCATCCGTCGGAACATCGTGAGCCAGGCACCCCTGCTGATGCTCCCCAAGATTGCAGCCATTGGTGTTTACCAGGAGTGCCCGACACTTGGAATGAACTTCTCTATGCTCACCTTTTGTCCGTAAGATTCGAAGAAAGGTGATTTATGAAAGAATTGAAGAATTGCCCGAGTCGATCATTGTCGCAGAAGCTATAATGATTTCAACAACTGTACAAGAAGACAAGATTCAATTCAAGCCATTTCTTCCACATTTTCTTGGGTATTCACATCGGTGGTCTCCATTTCCTTCAGTTTTTCAAGCTGTCTCAAGAGATCCAACCTCTCTGGTCCATATGTGGAGGGTATCTGTAAAAAAGATGACACGTGTGACACAAATTAATTAGAGATTTGCATGCGAGTAAGAAGTTGCAACAGATGAGTGCTTGGATAAGAAATGTCACAAACCAGTGATGGTACATATCTCTGGATGGCAGCCAACATGGCTGCATGACCAATGGCAGTGACCTGCAGAACATCAGCCGACAAGCGTTATTCAGAATAAATGATGAGCGCAATAGAATTTTAGAATATGATAACATTCTCAATTACACGAGATTATCAGAAGAAGAAATGAGAGCCTGAATTAAACCAACAAATTGTGGTAACAGCATATAGGAAACCATTTGGAAAGAATTTCAGCCAATGGAGATCTGATTTCATGTCTATGTTCCCATCTCCCTTCTGCTTGAACAAAAGAAGAAAAGTTTGACATACATCAGTCAGATTCATTCCTTTTTCAGCTCAGTTTCTCCTGCTCAGGAAAACTTCCTCACGGTTGGAAGGGCAACATTGAGGGCATTTTGAAAACCATAGTCCACTTTGGACTCATAAGAGACCCTCGCACAGATTATCATAGGCGAACTTATCAGCTATCCCCTTTTACAGAGAGCTCATTCACAGACAAGGATATGTGTGTGTGTGTGTGTGTGTGTGTGTGTGTGTGTGTGTGTGTGTGAGCAAGCGAGCGCGAGCATACATATACATGTCTACAAGTTTAACATGAACTGGATAATATCCTAGATGTGCAAATATGCCAGTCCAGCTGTGATCTTGATTGGGAAATGTTCAGGTGACTTCACATAGATTTATGTACTAACAAACATAATATATGTCAAAATGACCAAATCTTTAAATGCCGCTAATCCTAAGAGAAACCATAATGGCAAGATCCCTAACAAAAACTTTTAAGTAGTGAATCCAGAAAGTTGAGACCACCTAAAAGTGCTCTTTTTCGCTTCTGAGCATTGCCTCGTTCGATATTACGCCTCCCAAATCTAACTTTAATGTAGCAGGAATAATTCAAAAAATAGAAGAAATTTATCACTGTAGAAAGATGTAAAAGAATGAGAAACGTGTTGGATTTTGGATGACAAGTGAAGACGCATATCATTGCCGTTAAATAAGATAAAGAGAAAATTGGATAATATTACAAAACTGTCAAAAAATCATAGGCAGCAGAACACAGATGATGCTTTAATTGAAACTAACCGGAAGTAGCATCAGTACACCAATGGGAACCACAGATGCTAAGTCGGTGAGAGTTCTCTTGAGAACTTTCTTCTCTTTCTCTGTCAATTCATCACCTATTATCACTCTCCGAAGCAATACCATAGCAGCAGCAACATCAATAGCCAGAAGCTGGGTTCCTTGCAGAACATCCTGCTTGATCAATCCAAGACAACTACAGTGAGATACCACGATTAATGGAAAGAACAAAACCAGATAATCTCATAAATTTATAGAGGCAAGAGGGAAACTATAACATTAGCAGATTGATACCAGAGGGAATGATCAAAGCTATACGCATTAGCAGCTTCATGCTAGCTGGCCTAATCATAGGTTACAGCAACTCATTCTACCTTGCTAATTGAACAAAATTAGTGGGAGAGAGTGTCCAAGGAAAGGTATAAAATGAGTGAGTCACAAGAGATGATGAAACCTTCAATTTTTTGCTTTAATTGGTTGGTTTGTTCTTGTCATTTATCCAGACAATTGAATTTTGATCAGGCATATAGGGGTCAACATATAAAGGAAGAAAAGGAATGGAGAATAGCAACCAATCATTAGTTATAGCTTGATAAAATTGACAGATACACAGTAGCAGAACCCATCACAATAACAGTTCTTGTCCAGCTTCATTCCTTCTCCTTATATTTATGTTGATATCACACTACATGCATTAAGAGATATCCTCAGATCAGCATTTTGCAGCCAAATACATCGGTTCAGTTCTCATTTCCCGAAGAATAGTGCATTTAGTATCTAGAACTATTGTTTTCCAACTATAAGTGAAAGGGCAAATACTGTTGTGGAAAGTAATATTATCCTCCCAGCGATTGAAAGATTGCCGAATATTCAAGACCACCAAGTGTCCCAGACATATGAAGAGTATGTGCAACCCTAGAGGTCCTTTTGACTAAGCAGGGAGAAATCCTAAACTGGAGTTTTCTTCTACTTGAAAAACTGCATCGTGCATGGTCTATCCTAATTGCTGAAAGCCTTGTCTTCTAGTCCTTTGGGATTATTGGTAAGGTGGAAAAGATAAAGTCCAAGAATAAGCAAAAATCCTTTTGCAAGGATAAAATTTTTTAAGTTCTATCAGCTTAAAAAAATTTTAAGTTCTAGTCCTTTGGACACATTAACTTCGTGGTCTATCCAGGATTATCAAAACTAGCAGATCTAAAAACTTTTAAGGGCATCATAAATATGCTTATGCAGAAGATATTGTGAAAACAGAACAAAAAGGATGAATAAATTAATAGAGCATGCGCCCCACACGGTGCAGTGCATTGGTGGTGCTGGTTCGATCCCACCCATGTGGTGCGACTTCAAATCCTTCAGCTTACATTGCCGCTCGGGCTTATCCAGAGCTAGGGGTGGGGGACCTCCTAGCACTCTATGAGGGGTTTACCCACCGCATGTAGCATAAGCGAGGACAGCGCCGATTCTCTTCGCGGTTATCAAAATAATTGGAAAAAAAAATCATAGAGCATGTATGCATAAATACGTATAACCTAGAGACGAATAATGCATTATGTATTATAATAACAGTGCATAACCATACCCTACTAGTTTCTTTCAGCTTGTCAAATGATTTTTCAATTATATTCTCTTTCTTCTGGACCTCAATCAGAGCACTCTCAGCATCATCACCATCATCGTCAAAACCCTCATGAGAGAGCTGAACATCCTGAAATACACAAAATACCTACTAATAAGAATTATCAAACAAGAATGGTCAATGTGAAGTTCAATAGACATGGTATATGGACAGGACAGGAAATCGCACCTGAAATTCACACACGCACACACAGAGAGCTCAGCAATTCCTACAAATATAATCTCTGACCTCTTCAGAGACATACATGCACCCAACCATAAAAGCACATCTCGGAGAACCTACACGTGCTTTTATGTGCATGTTCAAATGTATACTTGAAAGATATTTGCATAGCTTCCATAAACGAGTATACGAGTACAGCATCTAAGTACACTATATCATGTGTTCTGTTTCTTATCTTCCATAACACTCTCTCCCCTGCCCTTTTCAACCATAATACTTCAATTAAGTCAGAGAGGCTTGAAAACATTAATCCTGACAGAACTTAAGCCATGGAAGTCATAGGCAGCTCACTATCTTTTCTTGAATTGATCAAGCCTGGCAAAAGAGAGGAATCACTCAGACTAATCCTGGTGATTAAATAGGCATCACTCAGACTAACCCTGGAGACTAAACTTCAAAGAAGACATGACAGACTATATATCTAATAGAAGGTGAGTAAAGGGTATGATCTATCCTTGAGTGCAGATCTCCTTCCTTATCGAGGCCTTTTGTTAAAAGAGACATGCACATTCAGGGTTGATAGGCCTGAGAAGGGATGTTGTCAGAGCAGGTGAACATGCAATCTGCCATTCACTTACAATAGCTTCTGTAGTGTACTGAACAAGAAGACCAACATAAAAAAAAATATGAAGATGCAAAAGATTTGTTTGATGCTGTGAACAGTAACAAGTGCCTTCTCCGGTGCATGTCATTATCAATATTTGATGCGCAGAGGAAATTATATCACAAAGAGAGGCACTCTAAAAGATACCTCCTCAATGTCTGATTTATCAGAAGTTTTCTGAACTCGCTTTTCAAGTTCTATCAGCTCATTCCTCAGAAGTTCAAAACGCCGAATTCCACTTGTTTCAGTTTCGTCCATGGTCATCTTTGGAGTGATTTCCTGGACTTTTTCATCTTCCTTGTCCTGCAACGTACAACGTACAACAAGGAGTTTGGGTGGTTAAGAGTCAATAAATCAGTTCATTCTGGATGGCACAAGAGATGATTAAACCCAAGATCTGAGTAAACTCATGAGATGATGCTGATGAGCTTGATCATGTGGATAGATCATCTCAAGTCACATAGCATGCTATAAAGTCGTCACTTTCAAAGCTCGATCTAACATGCATTCATTTATTAAGTCATTTTTCTGAGTGAAAGACTGAGTTAAACCTCCAATTAAACAGAGACATCTATTACTAACCTCTCTTTAAAGCTTTTATTGCACATATCACATTCGTAGTAACTCCGGTTCACATTCTACTAAGTTTTAAAGATCCAATGTGTGTACAAAGCTAGTAGTGTAGTGTTACTTGTCACAGTTTCACTTTCTAATGAATTACACAAGATAGACAAAAACAGAAATACTGCAGGAAGCAAATTATTTTTCTTCTATTGCCATTCCCATAATTTTATTAGTCCAAAAAAAGCCAGATCAGAACATAATCTGGAGGTGAGTATGTCCATGATAAGAAAATCCGACACAGCTACAGACATGAAATGTATATTGAACTTTTACGTGTTTAGGGCACGAGAAGAGAAAAGATTTCAAGCACTAGGTACATAGATGATTCATGCAGGAGTGGATGCTTTAAAGTAGATGGTTCATGGACAAGAGCACACATCATGATGGCAAAGTGCTTCTAGAAAATAGAGAAAGTTCTATGCAACAACAAAAAATATATGAAGAAACAATTCTCAACGAAAGGCGAGATCATACAGATATGTTAGCACTAAGTAACTCAGGGCCCAACTTCCTGGCTGGTGGTCTGGTCAAGAGGTTCCAAAATCCACGTGCACTGCTGCCACTCAAGAAAGAAATGTCTCAAGACAAGTTGGAGAAAGGGAATGGCATGGCTAATGAAGATAAAAGAAACATATGAATTTAAACTGATGTGCATAGCTGCGAGAGCTAGATGGTCCAGGCAAATCTTCACCTTTTACTTCTTTCTGGAATTACACCATCATTGTCCCTGGATTTTCCTTTTGAATACCGTCTCTGACCACGAATTGAAGATTGGGATTGATTGTCATCATCCACCTGTGACCACAGTACTCATCAAAAAGCAAAAGCAAAGTGCTGAACTTCAAAATGGAATAAAGAAATTTTATGAGAATCCTACAAATCCAAGACAACCATGCAATCAGGACCATCAAATTCTCCATTGGCCACAACAGTTAAGACAAAGCCATTTAACTGGAACTCGGAAGTATGATATTCAGCTTAAAAGCCAGAAACACGTAACGTTCTACCCAGTTGGTGAGACAGGATGAGACTTTCTTTCCTAAGATCATCAGGTTCTGCAAATTACCTGCTGGAGTGAAGCTGCTTTTGC